TAATATCCAGATAGTTATCAGATGTTTCTTAAAAAAAAACTTTATATTTTATCTGTTATTTTCAGTAATGAATCTCTGTATGGGTTCTGTAGATTTGACCGATCTCGTAACTACCATAAAAAATTAAGAAATGAATATGAATTATGCTTCTTTCTTTCTAGAATGAACACAAATTATAAAACAAAAACAAATGTTTAGATTAAATACCTTAAATCTCATAACATTATACATTTATATATATTTATCATTTTTATTATATTGACCTTTCAGCTGTACCTGGCTAATAATACAGAAGTTGCAATGACATGGCACACTTGCACTCATGTTACCATATCCAATAATATAAAGGTGATAGTTAGTCTGTACAAAGAACTTGTCTTGGCTGTGTAACAAAGTAACCTGTCTTAGTAGTCTATGTTGGTAATATATTTGGCAAACTAAAAACATCATAAAGTAAACAAATACTGTGATAAAAACTAAAAATAATTTGTGTGAAAAACTTGTAGTGCCATTCATGTCGATGACTGTGGTCTCTTAACTGATTAGGCACAGATTGTTGAATTCCTTTCACTGGATATGACAGTCAACAATTATGTTACCAAATTACTCTACAAAAAACTAATTATTCTTGTAAAAGAATTATTTCAATAAGACTACTAGAATAAACCAATTTATTTGAAAAAATAGAAGATACATAAAACTTACTCCAACACCATCACTGGCTCCAATATTAACTTGACGAAGACGTCTATCACTCCGAATATCACTTCTTTGTCGTATAGGAGTTCCTCTTCTAAAAATGTAATAAATAAATCAGAATAAATTGGAGAAATCTTTAAGAAACAATTTTGGTTAAGATATTTCAATTTATGCCAGACTTTACCAATTTCAGAAAATGTATAACATGGAAAGCTAAAATGAATTATAGATAATACATCTAGAAAAAAGTTAAACTGTTCAACACAGATACAGAATTTTCTAGATGGAAATTGTTTGGATAGTAGTACTCACACTGACTGCTTCTGGCTTGTAAAAATTAAGATAAAATAAAATTATAACTTTCAAGTTGCTCAAAAATTAGAACACTATTTTACTGAATTTGTGGAAAGAAAAAGTTTGTCACTGCTGATAAACTTATATTTAGCATTATATAACTATAAATTTTTGTGAAAGTAAAAAGAACTTCAGAAATTTAGCTTTTGTGACTGCAACAGTTTTAAAAACCTAATTCACATAAAATTGTTCATTACATTTTCAACAATCAGTTTCCATAAACATCAAGTCCATTGTACATTAAAATAAATAGAACTAGGTAAATTTATGTGTGTTTCAAAATTAATCTACACACCTGCTTTGAAAATAAATTTTTTTTGTCACTAGATTATATTGACAGTTGGCATGTAATATACAGTAAAAATAGCCATTAGTAGAATGGCTGATTCCCACAACGATTAGATTTTATTTGTTTCAGTGTTTTGATAAATATGGTATGTATGTTTGCATGTGTATAATTTTTGGATATGTTTTCATATTTGCCTTTTCTTTCTTGAGAGAAATCAGACTTAAATCTTTTAAATGTTGATCTCAAAATCAATAATCTATACAGTTCTTCTGATCCCCAAGGCAAATGATCTCTAAAATTTGATTCAAATCTGCTGTTTAGAAATTTAGATTATCAAGGAGAAAGTAGATGTATACAGATGGACAAATATCATCATCATCCTCACTATACCCCCATATCCCCTTGAACCTTTTCAATGTATAAAAGATTATGTAAGCCATTATTAATTACACATTAGTTTCTAAATTAGCTGAAAATTTCCTGCTCATTTCCCTGATAGCAACAGAAATCCCTTTTCTATATAAGTGTATAGAGTATGCTGATGCTATTACAAAAAATAAATATAGTTGGGGACATAAAAATACATGAACTAAATTAACAAGCCACCCAAGTCAAACGTTTCCTCACACTTCTAAAATGGTTACTTACACAGAGGAATGTGGTGTTCCAACACTTGAGCTAGGAGTTCCATAGTTTAAAGGTGAACTTAGATCCATTTCACTAAAAACTTGAAAGAAAAATACCTTTTGGAAGCTTGCGTATTCTCACATGCATTCAAGAAAAACTATTTACTTAGAAAAGAGCATTTATTCTTCTAAAAATATTTTCATTAATTTCTTTTGTCAAAAGTTATAAATCAATTTACTACATTACTGTTTATATTTACCCAGGGATTATAAAGAAAACTCCATAAACAAAAACTACTCATCTAAGAAGAACTAAATTTCATCACAGGTACACTGAGAATGAAAAGTATTAGTCAAAAAAGTTTGGCCACAGTACATGGTGCTTCTAAAACTGTAACAAATGTTCACCATGATTCCAATCATTCTCAATCAGCATATGAAACCTATCATTAAATTAAGTTATTACACCAATCTGTTCTGGCCTGCGTTCATTGATCCTTTTAATAAAATGCACATTAATATACATTTTATTAAAATCACCAATTTTATATTGTTGGAAGATGAGAAATATAAGTAATGCTAATTTGTAAGAAATGCAGCTTATGTATCTTTACTTTCTTTAAAATCTAGGTAATAATTACAATATAGTGATTGAATACTTTGCACTAGCAAGTCTATGTGTAGATATGCATGCTCTCTCACATACAACACAAAATATTCCTACTATTGATGAAACTCTTAATGTGCAGCAATACCACTATCAAAAAAGAAATCTATAACTTACCAGGTCCACTACGTGGAGCAGGACTTAAAGGAGCATGTTCTTGGCCTTCTGCTGTCTGTGGTGTTGATGGCATGGGTGCCAAATCAGTCGATAATTCACTTCCACTGCTCCGTCTTCTTGATCGACGTGATGCTTCAGTAAAAATAAGAAAATAGATGCTGAACTTTTTACTTATTTCTATAGCATATCACAGACAAGTTGGCTTAATGTTATTCCATATTTTAAGAAAAAGACTAGTAAAAGAACATTCTATATCCAATAAGCGATTTATCAGTATTTGGAAGGTTTAAAGTTTTATAAAATACTTCATTTAGGTCTTCTGATTTAACAGAAGACTGAAAGTTTAAAAGCAGCAATATCCCATCTTTTCTCCAGATATAACCAGCAGTTTAACATTAGTACAATATTAAAATATCATAAGCAAAAAAGAAAATGAACAAAGCTTCTTAGCTCCTCTAAGACAGCACTGCAAGAGTGAATATTGTTGATGCCTTTTAATTAATTTTGATTAATATCCATTAGCAAGTGTACTCCCCTATAATGTTTGGTAATGAGCAAATAACTGAACACTATTTGGAATAATCAGAATATATGTAGGTCTTAAATCAAAACTTCAAATCTATATTACATTAATATATTATACGGGCAGAAGTGCTCTCAATTTTAGAAAATACAAAAGGACTGTACCTTTCTCCAACAACTACAACTCTCCATAGAGCTGAGCTATAAACTAAAGAAAGTAAAACAGTAACCTTTTTTTATCACCACTTTCCATCAATTCTCTTTGCCCAAACTTCACATATAATAACAATAACAATCTTAGTGTCATATTATCTCCAGAAGTTAGCATATTGTTACGTCTCCGTTTGTTAATTAACTTTCTGTAACTTCGTTCCGACGAAACTTTAACGACACAAGTCTTTACTTAATAAAACTGGTTTATTCTTTCTGAATATAACTTTACGATACACTTAATTTCAATATTCGCGCTAAAACAAACACTATAAT